GTACGAAGGAAAAAAGAAACATACTTGCACAAACATATGATACAGAAATATCGAGTTTGAGAAAAAAAAAACAAGTTGATGAAGAGTATTTGTGTTTAACTGACTTTGTTAATTAACTTTTCTCGAGTCCAGTCGAGACATACTAATCCACTACATATTTAACTTTGACGGTGGAAAACAAGTCAAAGTGTACAATCTTCAATATATACTCTTCCTTTTGGCAAGAGTATTCACGCTCATTCTTAAAGCAAATCACTTACAATTGACATTGAAACGTAAGTAGTTCATAATTCAATCTGAATAAGTTTTAATAGGTATGAGAATTTGTCAAAGACATGAAGTTTTTGGTAGGTTCGTTTTTCAAGTCGGCAAAGATTGTAAAGGAGTTGGATAAAGGCATCTATTTATACCAAAAGATTGTTCAATGTTGAAGGCGTCTAACGTCCAAATTAGCCTTATATGTAGACGTTTCCGTCTCAATTTTCCAAAATCTAACTGTTAAATAGTTCAGTGAAAGTATACTTCTCGTCTTACGGATTCATTTGTACCCTTGTGGATGCTAGGATTGCTCCATGTCAAACGCTCATTACAACTTTCTTTGAAATGGTTGAGAAAAAATTGACATACAAAATATTTTTAAAATTCAACCTTTTACACGTAATTGTTATTTGTTGTTCCTTTTTTTTTAATCAAACTTTTAAGACCAAAATGGTAAAAAGATAGGGTACAAATTCAAAAAAATTGAATCTAAACACATTTGTTTTGAAATCATCCAACCTTTATTTTTAAATAATAATTTTATAAGATTTACAAGACTTCATTTAAAGAACTATTTCGGAAAATTTTAATCACTCGTATTTCAAAGTTGAAACTCAAAAGATTTCGACTCATAAAAATGCTTTGTTATTCGTGGCACACATCTCAAGAAATATTATATATATATATATATATATATATATTATATAGGATTGGGTTCACATGAGACCAGCCTGTTTTCGTGAGACCTGTGAGACCACATTTTTACACGTAACATTCACAGCAAAAACACTGTGAAGGTTTAAAAAAAGTCGAACCTTCACAGCAAAAACACTGTGAAGGTTTTAAAAAGTCACCTTCACAGCATTTTGCTGTGAAGTTTCAAGTGTAAAATGTTGGTCTCACGGGTCTCACGAAAACAGGCTGGTCTCACATGATCCCAAGTCTCTCTCTCTCTCTCTCTCTCTCTCTCTCTCTCTCTCTATATATATATATATATATATACACACACACGAAAAGTACTCGCGCAATGCAGCGAAACACATCTCGATTTTAGTGTTATATTTTATTATTTGTCTCTGTCGATGTTATAATACGATTTTATGTGTTTTTAATAAAACAATAATGATTTTATTTTTGAATAAAATATAAATTTGAAGATATCATAAAAAATTGAAAAAAATATATCAATGTTAATATCAATTCAACTATTTAAAAGTTCTCAGTTTTATGTAATATCTTTAATTTATTTTTTTTATTATAATTTAATTTAAGTTTAATAACGAAATAATTTATTTTTGGTTTAATAATAATAACATTTTATAAAGATAATAATTAAGTATTATGTTAAAACTTAATGATTATCCTAATTTTATTTTAGATTTTTTATATTTAAAATGAGATGTTTATCCTGTATTTGATTATGTTTGTCTGCAGTTAGTTACACGAATTCAGATATGGAGCTTTAATAAGTTGTACTTACGCACAATCTACTTGCAATCTTGAGTTTTAAGTAATATGCATTAATAAACAATACCTTATGCATAAAAAGTGGTTTTTAAGAGTTTTTGTCAAATGCTTTATAATATAGCATAGATATGTATGTATATGGAAATGTTTATTTGAGAAGTAAATATTTGAGAAGTAAAGAAGTGATCATAGCCCTTCATTTGATCAACATTAGCGGCTTTGACCGTGAAATAACGGATAATTCCTTGTATGGATATGCAAAAGATAGACAGTTAGTTTTGTAACTTTTACAAATAAATGGCAAAGAGGGTTTATATGTGAACCCATGTAATTCACATATGAATCATATGTTTATATGTGAATCAGTTAAATAATTCATATATGAATCACGTGGATTCATATATGAATTGGTTAATTAGTTCATATGTGAAAAACAAAGAGTTCATATATGAATCAGTTAATTAGTTCATATGTGAATCACACAGGTTTATATGTGAATCGGTAAAATAGTTAATATGTTAATTACACGAGTTCACATATGAACATATAGTTTATATGTGAATCACGTAGGTTCATATATGAGGCCGTTTGTCGCCTATTTGTAAAAGTTACAAAACTAGCACATCTATTTTTCAATAGCTCCAATTATTTACTAGTCAAAGCCATAATTATTGACCAGTCAAATCCGATCTTGACCGTATGAAGGGCTAGGATCACTTATTTACTTCTCAAAATAACCGTTGGCTATATATATGTGTGTGTGTGTGTGCAGGGGCGGACGCAGTAAGAGGGGGTTGGGGTCTTGGTCCCCCAACAAAAATGTTATATGAAAGCCCAAATTTTTTTTTTACTTGTATTTTGAGATTAGGTGTAATTGGGCCCCCAACAAGATGAGGTAGGAGGCCCCTCCCTCTTCAGTGCAGCCGTGCAGGAAGAAACGAGAGTGAAAGTGAGGCTGCCGCTGTGACTTGCGAGTCTGCGAGACTGCAACGGACGACGGTGCGAGTGTGTGTGCGAGTGCGACCGCCGACCTGACCAGCTGACTGCTGTAGTGTTGTGCGCCTGTGCCGCCTGTGTGACTCACCGGCTCACCGCCTCACCGGACCGACTGTGCTGTGCTGACTGCTGAGTGTTGTGCCGTGCCGCACTGTCGTGTGCGACTTCGACTTGAGACTTCCTTCTTGGCAGAGGCTCTTCTCTTGGGTAAAGAACTAAAGATTCTAATTTCCAACTTTAATGTCTAGTATTTTAGGTTAATTTTTACCTTGTGGACTTGTGGTAATTGATAATTGGTAAATGCTTTTAGGTTAATTTTGTTGGTTAATTTTGTGGTAATTGGTAAATGCTTTAGGTTAGGTATTTTAGGTTAATTTTGTTTTGTTGGTTAATTTTGTGGTAATTGGTAAATGCTTTAGGTTAGGTATTTTAGGTTAATTTTGTTGGTTAATTTTGTGATAATTGGTAAATACTTTAGGTTAGGTATTTTACCTCACAGTTCACCTATTCGACTGTAGGCGCTGCTGGAATTGGAGACTTGGAGTTGGAGTCACTGGATTGAAGCAAATAATTTGGGTAAAAATTCTAATTTCCAAATTCTAGTCTTTAATTTTGATTACTTCTTTGATTTTGTTGTTTGCTTATTGGTGATTTGGTAAATGCTTTATGTTAGGTTAATTTTATAGGTAATTTTGTAGGCAAATCAAATGGAAATGTCAAATGTTAGGTTAGTTTTATAGGCAATTTTGAAGGCAAATCAAATGAAATTGTCAAATGTTAGGTTAGTTTTATATGATCAGGCAGAAGGAATAATTCCTAGTTGGTAGGTCTCCTTGGGTGCTCATCTTAAGAAGAGTTCTAAAAGATTAAAACATAAGCCTTAAAAGTCACTCTCCACCACATCAATGCATTTGTAGGGTCAATGCCTAGCTTATTTCAACCGCATTAGTTATCTTTATTCGGTTAACCGAACAGTTTAAACCTGAAAATGAAAACCCGAAACCTTTTTTTGGTTCGGATGAATTGTTCGGTTTCAAAAAATTTTCGACCCTCCTAGGTGTGCCCCCAACCATAATAGTTTCTAGATCGGCCACTGTGTGTGTAGAGGCTTCATCATTTGAGAACTCTAAACTTGTGAGATACGTGATAACTTCTACCTCAATGTTTTGTTTTACATGACTTTTACTGTCTAAACATAGTATTTAATATATTAATTAACATACGTTTGTTTCATTATATGTTTGTTTCATTTGTATTTGTTTCACAATATGAAACTTTTTTACATAGACTTTTTTTTTTCACAAACACGTAAAAATTGTTCACATTATAAACCGAGTACATGTGAAACGAACACATTGTAAACAAATATATATTAATCGATAATTTAATCCCAGTATTAGATGAGAAAAAAAATCATATAAAATAACACATGATATACAAGTTCTCAAGTTTATTTCAATGAATTCTCAAAAAAAGACCCCTCTGTATATATAAATTCAAATTCTGGTGTATCACACTTTTTAAGTCTCTCATGATATCTTTAATTTCGATACGTTTACATGTATGTAATAATATTTTAATTAATGCATTTTATACACCATCATTTGTTACAGTTGATCATCACATAAAATTTAATCAATGAATAACTTCAATACACCAAGTAAATGGTTAGTAGATAAATTACTTAAATGATCTATTTTTAAAAAAATAAAAAATCATATTCCTTGTTTTCTTGTATATCTTAGAAATTAAAAGTTGAATTTTTACTGTTTTATCTTTTAGTGTTATAAGTTAATCATCAAAATATAGGGGATTTTCAAGTGTTAATTTTTTATATATAATTATTTTTACAGTTGCACCAACAAACTTATTATATATAACTATAACTTAGTAAGTTAGTAGAATGTAGCTACATATGGATCGTTTACCAAATGCTTAAGGATCGTTTACCAAATGATACACTTAAGGATTGTTTTCTTGACTTTTTTTATATATAATGATACACTTAAGGATCGTTTACCAAATGCTTATCCGGGTAAGCATTTACCAAGTCATATTATCTTACCGGATGGATATGACAATGAACAAGATTCTTACCCGGCAAAAGTGAAGGCACTGACCGAGAGTCTTACCCGGTAAGTGAGGACGACAACTCTTACTACGGTTAGCACTTATCGAGTAAATTATTGCATACAATCCGGTTTTGGTAGATAAAAATCTTACCTGCTAAGTAAGTGATAGTGTAAAATTTTAACGTAAGCTTTTTGGTAAACAACCTCTTAGTATGACGGGTGATATTATATTACATCTTTTGATAAATACGTCAAGATAATATCATTTTTCTGTATTATATACATACAATTATATGCTTACAACACATTTTTTTATATTAATTTGTTAAATATATTATAATGCTGAAAAATTAAATCATAAAAGCATATAATGGAATTATTAGCATCCCATAGACATCCACCTCATCCGTTTGAAGTGCACCCTTCTTCTCCTTCCTTTGCCACTTGATTTTGTGTCACATTTATCAATTGGGACTTCTTTTTCCTCCTGTGAAAAAAGCAATTAAATGTTTTATAAAATATAGTCTACCTTAGGTCCTTATACTTTGCTAACAGTAACATATTTGGTCCCTATATAGAACAAGTGAGTGATACCATATAATTATAGATGATGACAATTACGAAAAGTGAAAGAATATTGTAACTTACAACAATGATTGTAAACAATCGAATCCGACATTAATAATTCTTGTATACACCGATGGACGGTAGCATATACTTTTTTGATTCTAATAAAAAGGCAAACTGCAGGAAACTGAAGGGGGGTGAAATGATAATATGGGTCAAATTGAAAAGGAATTTTACACTCATACTCCTTATTTTATGTCAAAAGTACCAATTGACCCCATGTTGTTTTGAAAACATATAAGAGACCCCCTAGAAGTGATGGTGTTAAACAATGATCATTTAAAACGGTTTTGGATGTGCAATTTCAAAATGATTATTTCGTCTTGATTAATAATCATAATTGGATAAAAATAATACTCAGATGTTTGAATTTATCGATTGTAAGTAATTTTATATTTTTCTTAATATTCAGTCTTGTTACAGCAACCACTCACATGATAATCTAGATATAACTGATTATTTTGAGAATAAATAATTAAAAGAAAATTGTAGTTATATTTTTTATACACTGAAAAGTCGATCATTGGAACTTGAAATCACCGAAAATCAATTATAGTCCATATTCAAACACTTTTACAATAACCGAGTGAAAAGAGAGTACATAAACTTATCTCTAACTAGCACAAAAACATCTGATATGGAGGAGTATATGATGCAAGAGACTCTGGTACCTTTGTAGTATAAGCAGTCGACGAGCTCGATCTTGATGTGCTCCCGTCTTCAATATCCAGACTTAACTGCAAAAAATTAAACGTTTCATAAATTCATCTTCAAGCATTTTTTTCCAAAAATGGAAACAATCATACTAACACATGGCTCTCCAGTGACTATGATACCTGTAACACATGGTTCTCCAGTATTGTAAGTCGATCAATAAGTGTGCCTTTGTGATGTACATCATCGAGGGCAGATAATAGTGTTTTGCAATTCGGGTGGTCTACAGATGTTTTCTTATAATCGTTGTTGTTATCATCATCATTAGTCGTTATAGATTCGTACCTTCTTGATTTCCCATGCTTTTCTTCCAAAAGTTCCAACTACGACAACAACAAACGAGTTCTAAAAGTCAAAAAAATCGATAACAAGAATTAAAAAGAAAAAGAAATTAATTGGGTACCAGGCGATCAAGACGATCAAGTCTTGGAAGAACAGGCAACGCAGGTTCCATATTCTGGTTTCATGCAAATCCTTTTTTTGAATCTTTATGATATAAAACAAAGAGAAGGTAGTTTTACCTACACACCCATGCCTTCTTCAATTGTCTATAAATGCATCCAAAATAATAATAATTTATTATAATGATTTTAGATATGACATGTCAAATTTTAATCCTGTAAACTTAAAACCTCATTAAGTAATTTATTAAAATACCGAAAAAAACCATTGAACAATTTAATAAACCCATTTTATAATAACTATTTTTCTAAAGTTTATGATTTTGAATTGGACTCGTTTTAATATAAGATATGGGATCTTGATCTAGGACAAGGGTGTATAAAGTCTAAATGTCTGTTTGTTAGTAGTTTAATGAGACTTACAACTTATTTGATCAATTATGCATGAATGTTTGGTAATGATTTAATAAAAATGACTTTTTCAGCAAGTTTTTAGAAGAGTTTTATGCAAAAAGTTAAGAAAAATCTTTCCAATTAAAAACACACTCATTTCATCTATGTAAAAACCCTCCCCAGAAACATCTTTTCGATCCATACAAACACATTAATTCACACAGGACTTAATGAAAAATCAATCAATCACATATAAACCTGAACTAATTCATCTTTGATAGTTCAAAACACAACCAATCTCTAAAAGTACCATAATGCAATTCAGAGTAAATTATGTTTTTAGTCCTTATGGTTTATTAAAAGTTTCGATTTTGGTCTTTATGGTTTGTGATTTAATGTTATTTTTGTTTTTATCATTTATAATTTATTATTGTTTTAGTCTCCTGTGATTTATAAATCTTTATTATTTTGGTCTCTCTTGTACTTTAAATGTAGGAAATAATCTAGAGACGAAAATAACAATAAATTATAAACCATAGAAATAAAAATCACGATTTTTAAACGGTAGAGATGAAAATTGAATAATTGACAAACTATAGGGACTGGTATGTAATTTACTTTACAATTTTTATGGAAATTGGACAATGGACGGTTAGATCGAGGTCGAATATGATCTCCGATAATAAATGATGTGGCTTTTTATACATTATCTTCTGTACCTCATCCTTAAGTAGCATGTTGCTATCGAATGGCTCTAAATGTGTCCACGTTGCATTTTGGATATAATAGATGATGAACTCGTATGGATATCACTAGGAGGGAAAAACAAAGTCAACTTTGACCGAACGAACTTTGGACAGACGTGATCGTTTTGGTTGATATCAAAATCTTCTAAAACATATATGGATAATGTTTGATTGGTTTGAGTTTCGCTCTAAAGATTAAAGTACCAGAAGGTTCCCAAGGAGAGATAAAAATCCTCTTGTGGCCATGGAGGTTCAAATGCGGTGACTCCAAGCTATCTACAAAGTAGGTAGTCGTCCTGAGATTAGTCGGCTCACATAGCGGGTTGGATATCCAAGTTAATAAAAAAAAAATCTTCTATGAATAACATTTTCTAATAGAAAATTCAAATATTATATGTATAATACATTATGAATGTTCGTGTCAGGGATGGACCCACGAATTTTTGGATACGGTGACATCATATAAAACGATTGCACCTTCTATAATAAAACGGTTGTACTTTTCACGAACCTAATTTTTTTTTATCTTACCACGAAGGAACAATACGGTGGCACGTGCCACCTAACCACCCCTCTAGGTCCGTCTATGGTTCGTGTTAAAGTGAAGTTAGGGTAAAAAGCCTAGAAGAGTTCTTAATTCTTAATCATTTTTAATCTTATATTTATTTATGAATTGCTTTTAGAAGGGAATTGATCTGGTGGATATCAGTGTACCTCATTAGTGTTCACATTCAATTATGATTGATTCAAGGGTAATAATCCCTTTTTACACTTCTCATCATAACTTCCCTTCTCATTGAACCCATCCTTATAATACATACATACGCACATATAAATATATATATATATATATATATATACACACACATACATATAAATATAGGCGGGTGTTCAAACGAGAACCCCTGTGATTTACGAGAATACGAAAACACTTGTGGTTTTAGATATTGAACTTATCCATGTCTTAGGTGTTTTGGATAATAGAGTTCAATCCATGTTTACATTACTTGAACATTAAACTTTATTCACGTTTTGAATGAGTATTAAGTTTTGATTTCATATTGAAAGACTGCTTTGATTTAAAGTTTTGATTACGAAAATGGTGGTTTTTAGAAAGATGTTTTTTTAATGATGAAGAAATTTCATTTGAGAAATTATGATTTAAATAAGCAGACTTTCAGTTTTACTGTTTTATGATTATAATGAAAAGTGTTTGAACTAACTAAGCGTTAGGCCTAACTCTTTTTATTTGTCGGCATGTGCATCGAGTCCTCATTGGGTAACGATACTAGCAGTGTTGTGATGACTCAAGTGCTAGTTAGTGGCACGAGGAGAAATGAGCTAATTGGAGACGTCTTCTGTACTTTTGAGATAACGACAGTTAATGAGTTTTAGTAACACCATTCTCAATCTAGACTTTGTGTAAGGTTTAGAGTGTTATTATTTGATGTTAAATCTTATATTGCCATTATAAGTAATCATGTGATAACCAGATTTTGGTTGTCACCTGAGGTAATAAATATGTGATTATTTGTTACATGTGATTATGTGACAGTATAATAAATTGATATATTTGATCATGCTATTATGAGAAAATACGCATAATGTAGATGCATGAATGAGATTATGTGTATATGTGGATACACATGTATGTAGGGGTGCTCAAAAACCCGATGAACTCGACCAACCCAACCCGAATTTAAAAAAAAAAACCCAACCCGAGGTAACCAGATCCATGATCGATAAAAAAATTAGCCAACCCGGCCTTATTGGGTTGGAATCGGGTCAGGCCCAAAAAAACCCGACCAACCCGATGAACCCAACCTTAACTTTAGCTTTGAATTGTAGATGACAATCATGACATGACCAACCTTAACGTCAAGAAAGTGAAAACATCGGGGTTGGAAACGTCTAAAACTATTGTTGTTGATTGATGTATTATCATTTGGTTTAAGCAGTTTTATTGTAATATCTAAATATTTGATGAACTTGCATATTATCTTGAATGGTCGGTCGTATTTCAAAGGAAAGTTTTCTTTATTTTTATGTGATTTTACATTGTTTAAACACAACCCGATCAACCCAAACGGGTTGGGTTGGGTTGAAATTTTTCAAACCGTCAACATTGGGTTGGGTTGTTAAAACAGCTCCAAACCGATCAACCCGGACCGTGAGCACCCCTACATGTATGTGTAATATATATATATATATGTGTGTGTGTGTGTGCGCGCGGATATGCATGCATGTATATGCATGTCTGTATATATATTTATATGTGTGGTTAATTGATATATACTCACATGCATGAATATGGATGCATGAGTTGTGTGTATGTGTGAGTACAGCCGACCTTTCCTGTTAAGGAAAGGTATAAAAGGAGAGTTTGACCCCTATTTCACCTTCTTGGTTAATCTCATTAGATTTGAGCGATTTAAAAGAAAAAAGAGCTGATCGGATTATTTCTTGACTAAAGATCAAGTTGGTTTTCAAAAGAAAGTTACATAAGGTGAGTGATTCTTACTACTTTTAAACTCTTCATAGTTGTATAATTGATTGAAGAACTTTACTTTTGATTTAAAGGTTATCTGTTGAAGTGTTGTCCGGATTAGTCTTAAATCAGACAAGTGCCAAGCGATTTAGCCATAAATCGGACAAGGGTTGGGCGATTTAAGCCCTAAACCGTTTAAGGCTTAAGCAATTTGTAAATAAACCGCTTGATGAGAGTTGTCCGGATTAACCTTAAACCGGACAAGTGTTGAGCGATTTAGTCTTAAACCGGGCAAGTGTTGAGCGATTTATGATCTTTAAGTTTATATCAAGTATTTTGAACGGAGAAGTAG